GCCATTCCCTATCTATCAAATACGGTCTATTTGATTGTGTATCTTCCCATCAGGAGACGTCCAAGTAAATTTATGGACGTTATAATGTGGGAACATTGTACTTTTGACAGTAAGGTTTTTTGATGTGGCAAATTTTACAACTGTAACTCAATTATCATTACTAATTACATGCAAACTCTCATTCCCAATCATTGGTTTGAAAATGTCTTCCCTCCCTACTTTGGCATTGAAATCTCCTAACAAAATTTTCATAGGGTACTTTGGGAATTTATCAAATACATGTTCTAGTTTTTCATAAAATCTATCCTTTATATCATCAATTTTATCTTCTGTTGGGGCGTGAACATTCATAACATGATATTACACCAGCGACCTTTTAGTATTATATATGATATCCTATCACTAACGAATTCTACCCTCTTAATTGCTGATACAATTCTCTTATGTATGAAAAAACCTGTAGCTAATTCATGATTTTCATTCCCCTTAACATAGAAAATGTATGGTCTCCTGCTGGAACGATGTCACCTCCATCCCATCTGACCTCATGTACTCCGGCTATATCTAACTTATATTTTAAGATTTCTTCTGTCACTACCCTGAGCGAACCTGGTCTGTACAAACTTCGAACATTCCAAGTGCCAAATCTCATATCCATTTTCATTAGCTTAGGTCGTTTATCTAAGGAATCTGTCCAGTCCGAGGCTTTGTGTTCATTTTTGTAACAATGATTTTTTTATGGTGAGGAGTTGTTAGCCCCACGCCCAACCCCTAAGCTGGAGGGCCACCCCTTGTCGTTTGTCCACGACTGCATATTCAATATATTCACAGGTTCCCTCCAAAACTGGAGGGTGTCTCCTCCATCCGCAACCTGAGGACGCGCCATGCCGTGGTGACAGGGACCCACCTAACATGGCCATAACGGATATAATAATAATGAAAAATTTTAAATAATGCGAGAATTACCAAAGTGCGACATAGAGACATGAAGTGAGCACATGATGTTGGAAAAATGGCGCCAATAGACTTGCTCAATGCAGGGTTGCCACAAACCTTTAATTTGTAAAAAATGCAATATCTGCAAAGCACAATAAAGTGAAGTGCAATAAAATGAGGTATGCCTGTATAGCATCAAATGGTAGAAGAGACGAACAAAGAATTGCAAAGGATTTGGAATGAACTGGCTATGGCCTAACTGAAGTACTATCCTGACATTTACTTCATACATATAACTGAAGAAAACCACACAAAAACCTCTGTCAGGACAGTAGGTGTCCTAGCAGAGATCTGAACAGGGTACCTCCTGAATACGAGTCTATAGCATTACCACTACAATTCATTTTGTGTATTTCTTGTTACATGTTCCTATTGTGTATGTATTACACAATATAATAAGAAAGCAAAGCAATCAATATTCAAAGAGAGACACAAATAAGTCAACTAAAAGAAGATGTATGACAAGCCAGTTACATCCTGAGGCATGCTAAACCTCAGAGGAAGAACCATCTAAAGCAGAATGGGACACACTAGGGATCCTATGGAATGATGAGAGCTTCATGATTCTCCCTCTGGGCAAAATTAATGCAACAGTGGCACTTCTGAGTGAGGATTACCAAAATAAAATGGAAGACATACTGAGTGATCACTTCTACAAGAAGCTCAGAACTGATCAACTTCCAGGATGAAAAGATAAATGACTTCCCTTATAAAGAAGTCAAACATCTCACAGGACTGCTCAGAGAAACTACAAGCTTAAGTTCCATCTAGATTCTATGGCCTACTGAAAACTCAAGAGCAATGTGTCACTATGACTTACTGCAAACTGCATTGGCTCACCAACATTTGGACTGGCAAAATATCTGAGAGCTCTGGTTTGCCCCCTGGTTGGACAATCAGATCATCATATCAAGAACTCTGAGGCCCTTATTAAAAAATGGGGGCACTTAAATCTTCAAGAAATGGACATGTTGGTGAGTTTCAACATGGTCTCTCTGTTTACTAAAATCCCAGCTGAAAGACATTCTGCTGTTGCTCTCACAGCTTGCATCAGGTACGTCCTCACCACAACTTATTTTTAATGTTATATTTTAGCGTCCTGTTGCACTGATTTTCATCTATTATATGTATACAGTGGCCATCCTGTAGGGCACACAATTTCACCTGTCACTTCACAACATGTTTCGGCAACACAGTGCCATCATCAGGTGTCCCAACTACGTCAATCTATTGCATCTATTGCGGTTTACACAGAAAATAAGAAAAACGACCCCGTAGTGAACGAACCACATACAAGTTTTAATTAAGACAAATAAGATGAATTATCTTAACAAGTTTAGCGAGTGTAAATTTATCGTAGTTGACAAATACGGACTTTTTAAATACTTTTTAAATGGTTTGTGAAAACATATGAGGGCAAGCAATGCAATAGATTGACGTAGTTGGGACACCTGATGGCACTGTGTTGCCGAAACATGTTGTGAAGTGACACGTGAAATTGTGCGCACTACAGGAAGGCCACTGTATACATATAATGGACAACTTATTTTCTTTAAAACAGCTCATTCTATGATCAACAAGGCAGCGTAGCCATAGGAATACCCCTCACCCCTGTAGGAGACAACTTCTACATGGAGTCCTTCAAACAAGAGGCCATAAGCTCAGCCACCAAGAAGCCAGAACACTGGTACAGTTACACATACAACATGTCTGCTGTTTGGACACAGGGAAAGGAGGAGCTGCCAACATAAAGTTCACCATGGAAATGGAACAAAACAAGACATTCTCTTCCCCAGATGTTCTGGTGAGCAGAAGGACAAATAACTTTCTGGGACATACTGTATGTAGGAAACCCAAACATACAGATCTCTGCCTTCATGTGAGTTCTGAGCATCATTCATCACAGAAAGGTGCAGCACTGAGCACTCTCATCCAATGGGCTAAGACCCATATGTGACGAGGACAGCCTAGACATGGAGATCTTCCACCTAAACAGGGCATTCATACATAACAAATGCAGCAACCTTAATGCCATGCATATACTTGCCCCAAGACAAAGTTCTCAAAACACAGAAAGAGAAATCCACAGGAATAGCCATGTCAAGCTGCCTCCAACAAAATCAGAAGGCTTTTCTCCAAACACAAAATTAAGACAATTCACATACTCATGAAGAAAACTGTCCATACAGTTAGACATCTAAAGGCCAAGCCATGCTTAAAATTCACTGATATACTGTGTCCCTTGTGGGTGGGCAAAGTGTATGTTGAGCAGACAGGCAGAACCATCAAGGCCTGGTGTAAGGAGCATATGAGGCACATACATCTGGACAAGCCAAAGAAGTCAGCAATGGCAGAACATAAGTTTGAAATGTGCCACAACAAATTCATCAATACCAGTGTACTGGATGGAGCACCAGGTTACACGAACCACTTAATAAAGGAGGCCACTGAAATCACACTCCACCCCAGAAACTTCAACAGGGTCAGGGGTTTCATTCTCAGTTGGTCCTGGTACCTGGTGACTAATATGATAAAGCAGTACTGAGATGAAGCAATCCAGAGACAGTGCCAAAACAAACATATGACTCTGACCACTATCACTGCATCAGTTCATGTTCAGCTCCAGTCATGGGCTACAGGCTGATATATAGATGGGGGGTCATCTGAATCTTATGTCACATCTGACCCTGATGACGGGGACATAGATGGTCCCTGAAACATTCATAATTTTTAACCGCCTGACACAGCCAATAGGACCAGAAGATTTTATCAACTTCAGCTGCCATGAAAGCTCCACATCGTATATCAGTGAAAAGGAAACTCTGCAGCAGTATCTCAGGTCAAAATACCAAATTTCTAAGGCTAAGCTCCAGAAATAGAACAAAAATTTGCTATACACTTTAACATTTACAAGTAATATGTTTTTGGATATTATCCATCATCTTGTCTATTTTTAAAAAACCGTCCTATTTCTTTTTTTAAAACAGAACATTTCAGAGACTAGATTCTCCCCGTCCTCAGGTAAAACCTACTCAGTTGGGTCCAATAGATAGAGCTAGCCCCTATCTCTGGACCTATTTTTAAAAATAGACAAGACGATGGATAATGTCCAAAAACATATTACTTGTAGCAATTTACCATCATCACAAACTTTTAGACCTTACTTTAACATTTGTCCACAAACCCACTGTACAATACACAAATATTGTCTGTAGATGTTTCAGAAATTATTGTGTTGGATGCTACATTTGACAGTGATTTGAATATTAGCCTAGTATTCAAAATGTCCCTGGTCAGATCCTGTCATCAATAACAGAAGTATATAAACAAGTAACATGTCGCTATAATAATAATAATAACCTGAATATGGAAGTAAACCAAATTCATGAAATGTGTGCATTTTAATTAAATATACCCCAGAGTCTGGGCCTAAAAATGTACTTGCCATAAGCCTCAGGGCTAGTGGCTGGACATATTTCTGGAGCCTTGTCCGGGAGTTACAAGAGTTGCATTCGTAAATATTTATCTAGGTGGTTAAATCTGATTTATTTGTAGATTATTTCATTCACAGAGGACAATTAAACAGTTCCATCTACATACCTGTGGATTCACTGGGAAGATATTATCGACAAGCCGCTTGTAACGGGGCCGCAACGCTGAGCAGCAACCACAGCAACCTGGAAATGAATACTATTTTCAGAACTGTCAACTATTTTCCTTACTCGAATAGAAACAAATATCTGAATTCGATATTCATGTCAATAAGGTAAAATTAACTCACTGGCACACATTTCCTTTTGTATAAATAACTGTCAAAATATAATCACGGTTAAACAATACGGTGCCAAGAAACTGAACACATTCAATCAAATACCACCTGAAAAATAAAGCGGCAGCAATACACGAGACTAGCTAACATAACACTAAAACCTAATAATCTAATCTGCCATCATGCTCATGAAGGCGCAGCAGTATAACCAACTTATGAATACGAATCGCTTAACTGTACGAATTGCACTTCTCTCTACCAGTGTATTAATATTATGATTTAAACCACCAAAACCTTTGTACCTCTACCACTTTAAAAATATTACTTACATCCCGGATCGGTACACTTCTGAATCACAGAATCAAAAACATCCGGCAATTCCGAATCAAAACAACACTTCGCTAAACTGAATGCCATAGTATTCACTAAACCATTTACTTTCACATTATTTATCGAAATGACATATTATGAGACAGTGATATTGACCTAGGGTTGAATGGGTCACATTTTCAAATGACCTATTTCGCCTTCAACGAAAAGGCCGGAAAACGTAAACAGCTCACATAATAATTGTGACACGAAGTTAACAGTAACTGCTAGAAATCCACTGATAGATGATGCTGCTTGCGTGTTTTTGCATCAGAACACCACAGTTTGTTATCTGTACACCAAGCACTGCAAATATTAGAATGGCTACTCCTCGATACCACCCGCTACACAGCTGGGGCTTCGCTCCTCTGATGCCCCTGATCAGCACTTGATGCCCTGATCCAGGCCTGCGCTACTACCAACTTCAAAATGATCAGGTCGAATCATATGACAGGACTGCATTCGAAATACATTCGCCGACCAGTATTACTGGGCATGTAAGATAAAAATACAATAACATAAAGAGACCACTTACGCAGCAGTGTAATTTTGACATACAGGATAATCCGGTTTGTTTTATTCTTTGCTCTGGTGTTACATAGCTCATGCCTAGACAGACTAAAATCGATCTGACATAAATACAAAAATATCCAAAGAAAATTAAATAGTAAGGTTTATGACTGCAGGCGAATGATATATTCTTCCACCAATGTATACGTTTGAATGCAATTTTACTCTTATGTAAAGTCCAATAATTCTTCCAATTTTACTTATTCCGGTTAGTTAATTGATGTTACATTTAAAGCAGAGCTATAGGGACCCATGGCAAATGGAAGGATGGGCAAGACAAAGATTTCCTACATAGATGTTTTAAAAAATCAAAAGGGATGAAAAGTAGGAAATATACAAAACAATAAGAAGTAAATGTGTTGTTAAACAAATAATCTTCTGTCCTAAATATTCCAGTGATCTCAGTAAAATAATCTTAAACGGCTCAAACATAATTTTGTTAGGAAATTTTCTGGGTGTCCCCATCTGTTTGGAAAGACATCCTGATGGCCACCCAAGTGTTGACCTCGTATATTCATTCAATTCGAAATATGCAAATATGATAATTAATTAATTAATGCTCAACGTATGGATAAATTTATTTCGATTACAAGGATCAATATTTTTGGATAATGTTTAACAAACAATATAACGAGGAGCTTCATAACTTGTACTCTTCGCCGAATATAATTAGAACGACAAAGCCACGCAGATGATTTGGGCAGGACTTGTAGCACTAATGGGGGAGAAGAGGAATACAAATAGGGTATTGGTGGGAAAGCCAAAAGGAAAGAGACCACTAGAAAGATCAAGACGTAGGTGGGTGGAAAATATTAAAATGGATCTTAGAGAGATAGGATGGGGGTGGTATTGACTGGATCGAATTGGCTCAGGACAAGGAGTAGGGGAGGGCTCTTGTGAATACGATAATGAACTTTCGGGTTCCTAAAATGCTGGGAAGTTCTTGAGTAGCTGCACAACTGGCGACTTCTCAAGAAGGGCTCAGCTCCATAAAGTTACTACCAAATCATTCTGAGAGACGTACTTTGAAACAGGTTTCATCGTCAAGGAAAAGTCTGTTTCCTTCGACCCTAGGTATGTAACCTACTATTTCACTCCTTAATCCTAGTAGGCTCACAGTTATCTAAAGTTTCTGCATCATCATGCTTTTGTTTGTGGACTTGGGGACGCTTCAGTGTCGGTGTGTGTGAGCTCCTGAATAGCCTCTGTACTTTTTAAAGAAATACATGAACCGTACGGACTTGCGGCTTTGCAATTATGTAAAATGAGAACAAAAATACCGCCATTTAATGTTAGATCCTGAAATTGTGTACGGTGATTTATTATTTAAAATCTTGCAGTTTCTTTCGGAGAGCCGGGATAGCGCAGTCGGTATAGCGACTGGCTACGTGCTGGACGACCAAGGGGTCGGTGTTCGAGTCCCAACGGGGGCAGGAATTTTCACTTCTCCATATCTTCCAGACTGCCTCTGGGGTCCAGCCAGCCTTCTATCCAATGTGTACGTGGGCTCTTTCCCTACGGGTAAAACTGCCCGGACGTGAATGTGACCACTCACCTCCAGCTATTACCGAGGTCAATAAACGAAAGTCTACACATCCGCTCCCCCATAAGTTTTCATGTCGTAGCGCTTAATTAGTTAAGCACAAGGAAAACTTTACCTTTTTAGAGTTTCGTTCGAGACTGCACTTGTGAACACTACAAAGTAATAATGCAACATGAAAACACATTGTTCTGTGGATTCGGGAGGTGTCAGGTTCGAATCTCGGTCCAAATAATGGATATCCTGAGATTTTTCGCAGTTTCTTCAGGAAAATTCTTCTTTGAGCAGGAAATGACCACCTCCATCCAAGTCCATTTCAATTCAACATTCACAGTCATCCTGTCTTTCAACGCTTTCTAACATGGCAGTTGGAAAAAGGGCCGTCAAATAAAAAATATATAATTTACTTCTAATAGCGACATCTAAAGAATTGTTGCAGAGGGAAATTTTTTTTTCTGTAGGCGTAGATCATAAGTATATATGCAGATTTAGTATGACACGTTTATTTTGTTTGATAAAAATAGCGAAAGTGAAAAATTTTGGGGTTATTTTACCAACATTTAGGTAGTGTGTATCCATTACAACATAGGTTATATCTTCAGGGTATTGACATGGATTACATGGGAAAAATACTTTTACCGCCTATGTCACATTCCCTACGGCCCCAAGCGTGAACACTTTGTGTTCGGCTCTGAGACCTGAGGGAACAATTTAAGCAGAATCATGCTTCTAAAGCCGTAATCGAATTGCTTCTCCAAATGGTGTTACAAAAAAGCCTGTAATTGGCAGACGCTTCATTAAGCAGAGTAAAAACGTATTCCTTTTGCAGTCCGTGGGGCACGCCTTCTACTATATGTAGCTAACGATGTTGTTCCACAGTATACAACGATTGACTTATGTTCAAGAGGAACCCTACTCAAATCTCCTCCAGTGTCGACTATTCAGACTCACGTGTTAGGATTTTGCCTGCAGACATTTAGACAGACTCTGGATCAGTGACGTATTAATTTTTGGTACATTCGATACTGCCGTGGTTCAGACTATATAGGACCGTACGAATGGGATGATTTAACGAATAATGAAATGAAAAGTGTGGAAGGAAATAGTCGTGACTTAGATTGTGGCACTCTCCTGGCATTCGACTGGAGAGACTGAGAAACCCCACAATAAAGCTCAGTCAAAATAACAATATCCTGGCAGAGGTTCGAACCAGTCTCCTCCCTAATAGATTTCAGTAGCGGTACAGATTGAGCCAAACAGTATTATCAGAGAGCAGGGAATGACCACTTACTTGTATTTTCGCTACCGACAGCAGAGTGCCGCAAAATTAGTGAATAAAATATATCCGACTACTGGTCCGTTCAGACGTTCTTTCCTAATGAATGTTAATCTTCAGGAAAATGCTCGAGTAGCAGGCCTATTTTACAACATTGTCGCGTGTTTCCTGGTAACCTACTTCTGTCTCTTAAGTAACGCGATGAATAATTGTACGTAGGTTTCGGATTCAGCGAATATTTATTGAACACACGCTTGCACATACTTACAAGTACAATTATTATCCACTACTTCACTGTTATAATTTCTTCTTGGATCACTCTCTCGGTTAAGTCTTCTGTTCACTTTTTCGGATGCGAGCTAGTTTCTGCTATACTCGGAGCTACACTAAGAACTAACTGCTCTCCATCAAGTCAAAGACAAAGTTACATTGTGACTGACGGTCAGTCAGTCAGTCATTCTTGGTGTCGATCTCCATCTGGGGCTCATGACCGGATATTTATTGCTGTTTGAAAGTTACAGTCTTGTTTTCATGGGGCGCTCTCTCTGACGAAAAGAATGGGTCCGTACTTTGTATATGCCCTTTCCAGTGCAGTCTTTTTCGGGTTCAAGTCCATTGGGATTCGTGACCATATTTTATTGTCTCAGATTTGAGACTTCCCTTTTTGTCGCCTCCTACGACTCGCAGGGTCACGGTGGAGGTATTAGACCCCGCCTCCACACGGGTGTCTACTGTAGTCATGGACCTGAAAAGACTGCGCTGGAAAGGGCTAGCAGCATATACAAAATACAGATTAATCCTCTCGTCAGAGAGGGTGTAACCGTTTTGTTACGTGCCCCAGGTTGGAAGACCCATCTTCTACTCGTCCTCCCGGGTTGTTCTTTACGTCGCTGGCTGCTGTACTGCTACGGGTGACGACGGCTACAGCTGGCTTTACACTGCTTCACTTATCATACATACACATCTCTAACCTTTAGGCTAATAGGTTTGGTTTGGGGGCCAGTAAATTGCTACTATCAGTTTACAGATTTAGGAAATGTGTGCAGGATTGATAAGGGGGTAGCGGTCGCGGGTAGCTAGTTCCACCGGTAGAGCTGAGATCCTGACCTCAGGCCGTTTGGCAGGGTCTCGCTCAGGAAGGGAAGTGGGAACTCCTGTTATAACACACACACACTTTGTTCCACAAGACACTTTATTAAACTTTTGTCCATAGTGGACGCCACTATCGCACTAGATTGAATTTTCTTCCGCTTGATTTGTGATCTTGAATAAGACTCCTCCAATGACTTCTCCTCGAAACTCTCGGAGTCGTCTAGGTCCACAAGTCAACTCACTAAATTACGAAGATTGGCCAATTTCAAAAAATTGGAGTACACTAATTAAGTATTCCCCCAATCCGTTTGGGTATTACAGGGAATTTAGGTGCTAAAACTTAACGTAAAACCTGTCAGTTACTTGAGAAATGTTACGCTTGGCTTGGGGTTGGGAGCCTACCCCTCATTTGAGTTATGGGTTCAAAACTGTCACATATTGTGTTCTCCAAGGATTCAGACAAGTAAAATTTTGTGTGACTTTCTAAAGAACCAAGCTGCAGGGGGTCTTCCTCTTTCACTTCGCATCTGCGTTGACGAGTCGTTTTTCTTTGTCTTTTTCCTTCGGGAGTTTTGGCTAAAATTCCTTCTTGAGAGCAAGAAGTAGCCTATGTACCTCTCGTCCATTTGCTGTAGGTTACAAGTAAACCTAGCTAGTTAGTTAGTTAGTTAGTTATTGGAGAGGGTGGGTTTCCCCATGCACTGAGACCTGTATTGGTCCATTGTGCTTCCCTCTATTATTTCTACCAGACTCTATATCCTACCGGTACTGGTGCTTACCATCAGTCCCGCCCAGCCAGCGAGACCGGCTCTACTATCTGAGAGGTATCTATAATGTCTCCCTCATCTACCAGAGGTATTAGAAACTGCTATTGGGCGG